TGAATTTTTTTTTTTTTTTTTGAATTGGCGCCAGCTTGATATTCCTCCACCACTACACACAACGCTCCTTGTGAGCCATGAAATTGAAAGCCAAGTGGAGAAACGAGCCTCCATTTTGCATGATCACAAATTGCATATGATTATTTTTTTTAATACATTTTTACGCAACAGTGTGTACACGTTTTCGCTCTTAAGTATTAAAAATAATAAATAAAAAAAAAAAAAACTTAACCATCGTGTCAGCAATTTTTTTTTATCACCACCTTCAAACCCCCCCCTCCCCCCTGCCCTGCTGCTACCCTTTCACGTGAATACCAGGCGAACATGGAGGAAATCCCCGAGGAATTGAATGCCCGAGAAGATGATCAGGGCGCGAAGAACTTGACTTCAGTGAATTCGAACGATGATGATGTAGCTGCAAGTGGAAAGGGAGGTAAAGGCAGCCACAGCAGCAGTTGCAACAACGCCGGAGCGACCGCGGCGACTGGGACGAGTGGAGGTGCCGGTGGTTACCTATTCAATTTGATAGATCGATTTAGTAGCCTGAAAAAGGCTAAGCAGAAGGTGGGAGAAGAGCAAAAAAGTGGTAACGAGAAGGAGGCAAATGAGTGTAATGGTACCGACCAGAACGGACACATGAAAAAAGGAGCGGACGACGCGAGCCGCGATTGTGATGCTCAGAAGGGGAGAGAAGCGGATCTCTTCGTGAAGAGTGAGAGTGGCAGTGGTAACAACGGCGTAGAGGAAGAGCCCGAGGAGGGGGTGAAACAAAAACACGGTAGCGAAGAAACTGGCGAGACAGGCAAAACTGGAGAGACAGGCAAAACTGTCGAGGCCGCCCAAATCGCCCAGGTCGCCGAGACCGCCGAAGGGGTGGAGGAAACCTGCGACCAAAGGAACCCCCAAGATGAGATCGACGAGGGAGCAAGTGAACCCGTTTCTTGTCACAGCGCGAAGGAAGCGAATAGCAACGGAGTTGAAGAGGACAAGGAGAAGCCAACCGGCGCTTCGGACTCCGCCAAGGAAGGAGATGGTGATACGAGCAACGAGAGTGGAAACAAGGTGACGAAGAGTGGCCCCTCCGATCGGGGAGTCTCAGATGGTGTTATCTCACAGGGTGAAAGCGGAAACCCCAATGAGGAGAACCCCCTGATGAAAAGTCTCTGCGATAGCGAACTAGCCAAAATACAGGAACTAATTAAGCAAATAAAAAAAAACGAAGAACTGTACAATGACGAGCTAAACGGAGATCTGTTCTTTCTTTACGACGAGCTGTATCACACGCTCCTCGACCGTTTAGAGGCTGCCAACTTAGAAAATAAAGACATGAAAAAACTCCTAAAAAGGGAGATGGAGAAGTTTAAAGAGAATCACAGCATTGTTTCGGACTACCTTAAGGGTTGCGAGCACGAGGTGAAAGCGGTGCTGCTCAGTTGGGGTGGTGACAGTGAACAGGGTGGTGATCAGTCCGGTGAGCAGTCGGTGGAAAAGGCTGATGAACAGTTGGCGAAGCAGCCTGCTGAGCAATCGGGTGAACAATCAGGTGAACAATCAGGTGAACAATCGGGTGAACAGTCTCATAAACAGTCTCATGAGCAATCCCGCCAGCCGTCGGAGGAGAACCAGAAAGCACCCCCCCAGAAACTCGACAAGGGAATGCTCACTCAAGTAAAAAACTCCTTTTACCAATACTTAGAGCAAAAATTGAATGACGATTGTTATGATCACAACGGGATGGAAGAGAATTTGCTTCACAACAGAAATCTCAGCTTGCTCTTCCTCCTCTTTTGTCAAAAACATATTATCCATTTTGTGGAGGAGGCATTTTCTACCATGTGTTTAATTATTGAGGAGGGTGCTAAATGCGGAAATGAAATGAGTTCCCTCTTGAAGAGACTGAACTGTATGAATATGATTTTACATTTCCTAATCACGACGAATGAGCGTAACGGTGGTGTCGGCAGTGCTGCGCATATTGCGGGAAGCAGCACTGGCTGCATGCAGGGATTGTACAGCGGTAAGGCTTGGCACAGCGATAAGGCCTGGCATAGCGACAAACCCTGCCAAAGCGACACGATGCTCTGCGTAAACGGAGTAAGCATCCAGATGCCAATCGATTTGGTGGAGAACAAGGATTACATGGACGTCAAGCGGGAGACAGAGGAAGTGAGTGAGAACCACGACGATGAGCATAACCACCTTCACCATCAGTTGCACCAACATCAGCAGCTGCACCCACATCAGCAACTGTACCCGCATCAGCAGCTACGCCCGCATCATCAGCTGCATCTGCATCACCACCACCACGAATTGGCCAATAAAACCAACTTCAGCTCCTTAAGCAATGGCAGCAACAGGACGAGTAAAATTAATCGACTCAACTTAAACAAGAAAACGTCAAACTACTTCAGAAAAGACATGAACGAAACGCAGGTTAGTCTGTCCACGTGCCTAACGGATACCTCCGTTGTGGACAGAAAGATGCGTGATAGGAATGTGAGGAAGAAAGTTATGAGCAACGAAAATGGTGGCAGAAGTGTAGTGACACCGAGCGATAAGGCAGGCGCCCTCCCCAAGAAGACACCGTATGAAAACGGGGGCAGTGGCAGCGCGAATGGAAGCGGGAACGAAAGTCGTAGTGGAAAAAGCACGCAAGGCAACGGCGTGACGAACGACTACTTCAGCGACATGATGGTATACATTTCGTGGGTCCCCAAAAGCGCCCGCTGCCAGTACCCATTGGAGCTGCCAAAAAACTCCGCAGAGAGAAACAAGCTAGCCGAATACATAGAGGCAAAGGAGCAGATGCTGTACATTCTGAAGCTAATGGGGTACGAAGAAATCGATAACATTTATTTTCACCCCCCAAAAGGATCTCATATCAAAATCAAGTTTAAAACGCTAGCCTGTATGAACAAATTTTTAAAGGCCTACAAGAACACGCCTGATAAGTGGAAGGAGGATATGTTTAACTTCTTTAACATCCCTTTCAGAAGCAGCATTTCCGTGAGGGACCTTCGAATAGAAAGAGCTGTTCCCAGATCCTCTGCGGCGGAGTTTAAAAAAATGAAGAAGATGAACAAAAATTACAATGACTTGTTTTTATTTAAGGACAATTATAATCTTTGTGAGGATGGAAATAATAACAATTCTAAGATGGAGAAAGTGAATCTTCACTACGATGCGTTTAATGGGCATATGATTGTACATAATAATGGCGGAGGGACCACCACGGGTCCTACTTCCGCTGGTCACTCCGCAGGTCATGCCGGAGGCCATTCCGCTGCTGCATCGGCGACAACTTCCCTTGGTGCTCCTCCCACTGCAGCAGCCGCGGTAGGGGTGGTAGTAACGGACCACCGCCACCACCACAATGGAAGCACCCATGTTAGCCTGAAAAAGAACGCTGATCAGAGAAGGAGCATTTCCAAGATGAAGGGCGCTATTGGATCCATGGGTGCTGAGTTTAGCTCCGGGGTTGTGCATGGCGTGGGTGGAAGTCGATCGGCCCTGGACGACCTGCACAACGGGAACATGGCCTTAGGGGTGAACGCCGCGAGTACCGCTTCGTATGGAGGCCTGAACAGCGGCATGAACGGCGGCATGAATAGCGGCATGAATAGCGGAATGAACGGCCGAATGAATGGCGGCATTTCTAGCGGCGCGCATGCACACCACCCCTTCTCGGGCCACAACAACACCAGTAGCACCACCACCGCTGCAACCGCGGTGATGATGTCAAACGGAATGCTCAGCAAGGTTAGCGGCAGTGGCGGCAACGCGCTGCATGGAGTTTATATGGCGGGAAGGAGTGGCGGAAATAATCTCAGAGATGATGGAAGAACCTTCCTAGCAGGCACCCACATGGGAAGTGGAGTCATGAATGGGGCTAGCGGCATGGGAGGCAGCGTCAATGGGCACTACGGCAGTCACGTGGGAAGTCATTTAGGAAGTCACATGGGAAATCACTTAGGAAATCACATGGTATCCCACTTAGGAACACATCTCAACAGCGACACCTTCAATCACGGCTCCACCGGAACGATGCACAGCGGATGCCTCAACAACAAGGGAGGAAGCGGAAAATCGAGTTACCCCATTAACCATAACAACACGATGTACACGTCTAGGAGCTCATCGAAAAATTTGTACCTTATGAAAGGCGCCAGGAACGTGAACAACAAGGGTAGTTGCATGGGAATGGGTAGCGGTGCTAGGGCAGGAGGAGGACCGGGGTCCTTTCTCTCCAGCTCCAAGTACCTCGGTAGTGGCAGTAGTAGCAACAATAACGGCATGCATGCCATAAACAAGGATTATCTTACCAATGGAGGTTACACCTTAAAGAAGCAGACTCACTACGCATCCTTCTCAAATAACTCCAAGGGAAATGTGAACTCGCTTAATGAGCATCTGTATGGCTTCAATAGTAGCGGCGGAAGTACGGCCAACGTGAATGGATTCAACGGGTCGAATGACGCAAACGGGATGAACGGGATGAACAAGATGAACGGAATGAGCGGAATAAACGGAGGCGCCATTGCTAGCAGCGGCCTGGGAAGCCACAATTATGGAAGCAGCAGCATTATCCTTAATACGATGAACAACACACAGCATAGTAACAACAACAGTAATAATAATTCGACGAGGGGGACGCAGAGCGACACCACCAATTTGAATCACTTCTCGACCAGTGCACCTCTGGACGGGCCGACACTCAACAAGGAGAAAAATATATTGCGTGGGTTTAAAAATTGCTACATGGGCCTGGGCGCAGTAGGAGGAGGAGGTGGGGTAAGCGGCATCGGTAGCTTTGGCGGAGGAAGCGTGTATTCGGAGAACAACATTAACAATAGCTGCAGCAACAGTTGTAGCAACAGCATCGTTAACAACAACCACGGGCTGATGGGTTGCTCTCACGGGAGAGTCGACGGCGGAGAGTCTCTCAAGTTACAGAATGTAAGTGGAGACAGAAGTGGCAACGACAGCGGCAGCGGAAACTGCCATAGAGACAAATACGGATCCGATTTGGCTAGCCAAAAGTATAGCACACAAAACGATGACATGAAGGAAGATTTTAAGAATCTCATCAATATAGACTTTATTAACGACATCGACATGGAATTCGACGAAAAGAACAATGATCATATGTCGGTGCACAATGCCACTGAACACAATAGTGGCAATGTTTGCAAAGGCTTCCACCACCTGCATAATGGGCACACGAATAATGGGAAGCGGCTCAACGGGATAGGCAGCTGCATGAGCGAAGGGCTACTAAGCGCGAGCGCCACGTGCGTGGGAAACTGCATGGGAGGAAGCTGCTTAGACAACTGCGTCGGGAACTGCCTGGGGGGGAGCTGCGTGGGCAGCTATAACGGCAGCAGCAGCATCAAGGCGCGTGACTTCGACAGGTTCGACAAGTTTGAGGCCTACGACAGGTTCGATAAGTTTGAAGCCGACGACAGGTTCGACGACTACGACAGATTCGACAAATTCGACCACTTTGATAACTATGACCAATTTGATAACCATGACAACTACGACAAGTTTGAGAGCTACGACAACTACGAGAAGATCCCCTTTGACGACATGAATCACGAGCCCAGATACGGCATCAACCTGGAGGAAGATGAGGAAGGGCGAGAGGGAGACGCAGAGGTGGAAGGTGCACAGGAGGGAGAGGCGCAAGATGCAGATGCTGCGGCCGCGATTGAAGCGCAGGACGCGGGTCAATCAGGTAACTTCAACGACGAAATGAACCCGTGCGAAAATGACTTTGCCTACCCGAATGGAAGTCTAAGTAACAACAATAAAGTTGGAAGGGCCTGCGAAGTGAATGTCGATGATGGCGCTGGGATGATCCTGTCCGAGGGTTTTAGCAGCTACTTCTGTGAAGAGAACTCCAAAGGTGTATACAACTATTATGGCACTCCTGACGGAGAGGGCGTAGGAGGAGCAGTGCTGGCTCAGAGCACCGCCACGACTACCACTGCCACCACGGCCAACAAGAGCAATTTGAATTTGAGCGGGAGTGGAAACAGTGGGCATGATGGAAGCTCACCAAATTTGGAGGAGACCACGTTGAGTAATAATTACAGTGGGGTAATGGAGCCATCAGAGAATGGCATGGTCAGCTCTCCACCAGACGGGATCGTACTATCGGCTGCCAATGGGATGGCCACCTCTGCGGCAAACGGCTTGGCCGACTCATCTGGGAACTCCACGACCAACTCAGTTGCCAACAACGGCATGGCGAACACGAGCTCTTCCCTTTACCGAGATACGATGAACCCCAAATTGTACATTGATGGCATCACAGTGAAGACAACCTTTGGAAAGTATGACGACGGAAACTTTTGCGAGCTAACGAAGGAAGACAAACTGAGAGGAGGAGCAGGGGGTGAAGATTCCCAAGTGGATGAATACGATTTAAAAATGAGCGAGGAGGATGCAAATAAGGGTTTTTTAAATTACTCCTTTCAGTCCCCACGTGTCGACAACGAGCAGAGTTTTTCGGACAATTACGTCAACTTCTTCTGATTTATCCCTACGGCTCTCCTTTTAGAGAAAGGGATTTTTGACGAGAAAGGGAGGGGAGCATGGACTCTCTCTCTGCATTTCAATGGCCAAATGCCATTTTGGCATAACCTCAGTTTTGTGTACGCAACGGAGTCACACAATAGTAACAACGAAAATATTAGTGGTACCTTTGATATTTTTTTTTCTTACCCCCCCCCTTTTTTTTTCTATTCGAAAGTCGAAACTTGTTTAGTCCGCATGTGTGAACATTATGAGCCACACAAGACAACACACTTTTATCTTGATACGTTGATTGATTGATTACCCTGCCGAGGTTGACATTTGAAATTTTTTTTTTCCTTTTTTTTTCTTTTTTTTTTCCCCTTCTTTTTTTCCTTTTTGAAGTTTGAGAGATGTCTTATTGTCCCCTTATTCATTCCGTTGTATATAAGTATGTATGTGTGTACTTCTTTATTTTTTTATTTATTTATTTTTTTCTTTTTTTATTTATTTGTTTATTTGTCTATTTGTTTATTTCTATTTATTTATTTTTTTTATGATTGCCCCATCCCACTCCTTATGTGCGTCTCACCCTTTTGCACGCACATGGCACCACCGCCGTGGTCTGCTCCAAGATTATCGATATTCCCAAAATTGCGGTGTGTGACCGATCTCTCTCCTCCACCCCCATCCTCCATATACCTCTTTGCACATTCTTTTGAAGTCATGAATTTGTGAGGCAGTCTAATCTTTCGTGCCCCCGCCTGCATGCGACTGTGTCATTCTACTTCTACGCAAGATGCACCTGTATTGTATATACACGAAACACACCTGTGGGTTTTTTTTTTGAATTAAACTTAAAGAAAAAAAGGAAACTGGTTAAATTTAAAAAAAAAAAGAAAAAAAAATGTCGCTGTGTTGGAGGAGATGTAAGTACACCTACCGCCGTATCATCACCGCCATTTTGGAAAGACACCAATTGGCATGCAGGGGGGAAGAACTGCCTTGCCCCAGCGGATGCCTAGACGTGATTACGCTAATTTTCCTTCTTGCATACGTTTTGCCTCGGCCTCGCCCGCGCTCCGCAGATCAATCGTGTTTTTTCGAATTGGGCCCACCTGGGTACACGTACACATGCAATTGTGCAGGCATGTCCCCTCCTTTTTTCCAACGTTCAGTTTAGCTTCCCCCCCGCGGGGAATTTTCCTTGGGGGAGCTACCCACACGCTTTGCGATTAGCTGCAACTTAGGAGTCGAGGCTGTCAAAAGGTGTTTGGTTCTTCAGCGGAGGGGAAGGATACTTTCCAAAAAAGGGGTACCCTTTTTTTTTTTTTTTCTAGAGTGCGAAGTTGTTTCGTTCCGGTGGCAACCAAGTGATGGAGACAGCGGGCAGGATGAAGCATCAATCTTTCTTGTTCGTTCTCGTCCCCCGCCCCCATTGCATTCGCCGCCACGCGGGGGTGATCTGCAGCGGTGCACATGAGTAGGCAACACAAAGCGCATAAGCCACACAGAACTACACAGGTCGCATATGCGTTGCAGCGCCGTTTTGTAGGCCTTCTCCAATGTACATACGAATAATACGCCGGTGCGTACACCTCCCTGGATCGCCCTACCTCCTTCATTTTACTCTCCCCTTGGAAAAAGAAAAAAAAAATCCCCGTTTTGCCTACATCCCTACAATTCTGCTAGTCGTACGTTGCTCGTCACCCGTTTGGCCAAACGAACTTCCACTCGTCGGGAAGGGGGACAGCCGAAGTGGAGCATTTTTTCTCGCCCAGAAAAAATTGCAAAAAAAAAAAAAAAAAGGCGGAAAAGGCGATAAAGAAGAAAAAAATAAATCCCCCTCCGCGTGTTCCCCATCCGGCGTGCTTATCATCCCCTCTGTACATTGTACAACTTCCAAAGTGGGAGGGAGACGCACATGACGCTTTTTCGCCACTTATTGTGCCACGTCATCTTCGCTTCCCCTTGCCCCCATGCGCTAAGCCAGCAGCATGCTGGACGAAAGGCAAAGAAATCTACAGAGGTACGCCTTGCATCTGGAAAAGAAGGACCTCCTTCTTAAAGGGAAAAAGAAAAAAAACGATCTGAAGAACATTTTATATTTCCCCTCCCTGTTTTGGTTCAATGGGCAGTTTTGTCCCCCCATTCCGTATTTCACCTTTGACCGGGATGAGGGCGGGATAGAAGTAGTGGAGACAGGAAATCTGGGGAATACCTCCCCGGGGGAAGGAAAAAACTCCCCATTTAGAGTTCATGTGGCTGATTTCCTAACCTGTGGAGTGCACAAAAACAGTGTCATTGTAAAGAGAGTTGTAAAAAATGAGGTCTTGAGTGTAAGTATGTTTAGCGACATGAAGGTTGTGTCGTGCGTTTTTTATGTGAACATTGAGTATGTGCTGGGTTTGGGTCCCTTCTTTGGCACGACGACGAATCCGTTTTTTTTCTGTTTATCTTTGGCTACTTCGGGCAGGGAGGGTCACCAAACGGGGGAGACCCGGCGAGAAACCAAGCGAGGGGCCCCTCAAGCGGATAATGAAGCACCCCATCAGGTGGCAAAACGGAGGAAGTGCCCAGACGGGGGGGAAAAAATCGGATCGTCAGCCCCCCTCCGGGCGGAAAGCCCCTTCCTCATCTGCGACATGCGCAACGCCCTGGACACGGTCCCTCGAGAGCTCCTCCTCTACAACGAAAAGAAAGAAATACACTTCTTCGATTATGTGACAAACAGATCTCGATTAATCACACGAGAAAGGATACAAGTGACGGCAATGCAGTTTAGCTTTCTTCACATAAGTGAGCACAACAGTCTTTACAACAAGATGGGGACAGACGTCTACGAGGGGGGCATAAAGATTGTAGACCTAGACCAAGTGGGGCAGAAGCTTTGGCGCAAGAATAGGTACTGCTTCGAGGTTCTGCAGGGTTGGCTCAGCGGGGCCAGGGATGGAAATAATCAGCCAAACGAAGAGGAAGCAGGTGAAAGGGGAAAAGTATATCAGAGAGCCCCGTGCGGGCAGTGCCGCATGGACAAAATCCTGCGGCGGATGTTCTACGTGCTGATCTATGGAGACAGCGAAGGAAACATTTACTTCCTAATCCCGGAGAAGGAAGTAAAAATAAAAAAAAATTTCAGAAAAGGGGAAAAAATACACCTCATAGAGACCAACGTGAAGGCCTACTTCAACACAAAAGGTGACAGCCGTATAGCCACTGTGTTGAGAAACAATGTGCACATCTTTTTAGCGTATAGGGACTGCATCTTGGTTTTTAATTTCCCTTTGTATCAGCCTCTCCTTCTGGTGAATGTGGCCGATGAGGTGATCTTCTCCCTCAGTGCCTGTCTTAACGACCACGGCGAGGTGTACTTTGCCTTCTCCACGCAGAGGTGCGTCAGAATTGGGGAGCTCTCCCGTGGAGGCGAGCTGCTCCGTGTAGAGGTGGACACTACCCAAGGGAGCGGCACTCAAGGGAGTGCCACCCAAGTGGATAACACGAGAGGACACCCCGCCGAAGCGAGCACCGCACACGTGGATAACACGAAAGGACACCCCACTCAACGGGGCGCCAGTCAAGTTCAGCACAGCGGGAACAACCCACACAACTCGAAGCAGCAGAAGACCCACACCTGCGTCTGCTTCGGAAGGGACAACGATCTCTACATAACCAGCGGGGATAAGGGGATCATCCACAGATATAATTTGAAGCAGAAGCAGATCACCCATAAATATGACCCCCGATGTAAGAGGATCTTCCATCTCGCCATGTGCACACTGAATGGAGAAGACTACGCATACGTCTACGACGCGGAGAAGTTCCTCTGCCTCTTCCAACTGACCAGGCAAAAAAACGTATACAAAATTTTTACCCTTTCTGTGTGGGTCTATCAGATTCTTTGTTTTCGATCCAACGTCATTTTTTCCCTTGGAAATGAAAACGTGTACAATTTGGAGGTCAAAAATGAAGGGGACAAGGGGAGCGGCAGCACCGACAGAAGCAACAACCGCAACATGTTCCTGACAAAGCCGTTCTACTCCGATCGCATGAGCGTCTGCACCTATCTGATAAATCACCCGAACCTACCACTCGTAGCCTTTGTAAACAAGAAACTCCAGTTTGGTGTTTTCTCCCTGGTGGACGCTCAAAGGAGAAGTGTCCTTGTACCGCCTATACGAGAAAATCAGAATGTCTTTTCTCTGTGTTGGTTTAGTACAAGGAGGCAATTGGAGGTGGTCGATTTTGATGGGGTAGGTTCCGACCTTACCGCTGCGGATCCGCTCACGCTTAATCAGTTTACAGATGAATGGAGAGGGGGAGGAGTTACCCCTCATTGTGGTGAGTATCTCGTTCCCCCTTTGGCCACAAACCTCGAGGGAATAACGCAAAATAGAGGAGCGAAAAATAAAAGAAAGGACGACAATACCCGGATCAACACACACATAGCACAGTTACTACAGAGCAGCCCTTACGATACACACCTGGTAGTGCTGAATGGAGAGACGCTGTTCCTTTACAGCGTCCTCACCAGCCAAGTGACAGACTTAAAGGATTATTTGAAAAAGGCAATGCCCCAATTTTGTGGAAAAAAAAATTTACTCAAATCGACTATTTATCGAAAAGTATGCTACGTTTTTATCTTCTCAGAAAAAAATATGTTTTTTATCTTTGACCAGTATTTCACGTTCTCTTTGCGAACCATAAATGTAGATGATCGCATTGTCCGCTTCTACCTGCGCGACGGGTACCTCTTTATTCACTCCAACACGTCTGTTTATTTTACGTGCCTGCGGAATGCGCTTTCCCTCTTTCCTGAATTTGTCCAAGGGGGGGATGAGCAAAGTCAAAATTTACAGTTCACGAAGGTGGACACGGCAGAAACGTTTAAGATAGCTCTTTTCGATTTTCTCTGCGTGGGGGAAGAGACGTACCTGGCTGTTTTTACCAAGCGGAAGGAGATTCTTGTGTATAGGATGCGCACGGGGGGGGTGCAGAACGAACGGGTCGGCATGGAAGACGGCACCGCAAACGAAACTGCAAATAGAACCGCAAATGGAACCGCAAATGACACCCCAAACGGAACCCCAAACAGCACAAGTGAGGAAGCCCACCTCGTCGCTCAGTTCCTCAGCTTCTACCAATTCGAACACTTAAACAAAGTTGGCAGCATCCTGAGCATGAAATTTTTTTACTCCTCCGTCAAGCGGCGGACGTATTTGATTTTCGGAGGGCTCGAGCAGTTTCTCTTCTTCTGGGACTTTGCGAAGTATCCCCTCGTGCGGCGGGGAGGGGGCGACATAAGGGAAGTCAGCGGCGTGAGGGAAGCGGCGTGACCGGTTTGCATTAAAGTGGGCGTGGGAAGCTGGGCAAACAAAGGAGGGAACATCTTTGCCACGTGGCTACCCAGTTGCCACCCATCCGCCACCCCATGCAGATCATCGAATGGTCACGCTGTACGTGCGAACGATCTCGAGCACCAACCGCTCGTGCAGCTCCTTCACGAGGCCTCTAAAAGTGTGCTGCTCCTGCAGAGGGGGGAGGGGGAGAAAGGGAGGCGGTTGTGTGTGGATCACGAACGGTTACAGTACGGGGTTGTGCTGCGTTATGCCACATTATGCCACGTTACGCCGCGTTTCGCCGCGATGCACTGAATTACGGCGACCTACCCGTATGCTCGCCGGCGCGGCGTAGAGAAACTTGTACGTGTAACTGGTCCTGCCGGAGCCCTCATGGATGAAGACATCGAGAAGTAGAACCCGCCTGAGCAGACCACTACCTCCCAGAAGGGATGCAAAATGAAGAACCTTTTTTGTGAAGAGATCCGTGTCCCACTCCGAGTTGACATAAAAGGACACATCTCTTTCCTCGTGCCGTACATTATATAAATTTAAAAAATACAGAAATGAGTCGCTCTTTGGTCGATTTGGATCCCTTTTCCTCGACAATAGATGCAGTAATGCGTTCCTCAAATGGGTTCCCTCCAGCTTGGGGGAATCTACTAAGATGTTTTCATCACCGATGTTTTCATCACCGATGTTCTCTTCACCGATGTTCTCTTCACCGATGTTCTCTTCACCGATGTTTTCTTCACCGATGTGTTCTGCTTCCCTAACAGCTGGTCTATTCGTCTGAATCGATGCATCTCCATTTGTGTCACCCCCTGGAATGTCACCATGTCTAATCATATTTCCAGCCGTGCCTTTTGTCCGCCTCATCTCCGTCTCCGTTTTTTTTGTCAATAAAGTATTCCCTCCTGTGTTCGTAATGTACAAATATAGGTCCCGTATTCTCTTGACCTCCCACTTTATCATGGCGATTCTATCTAAACCTAACCCTATGGCTAAGTAATCACCCATATCATACTGCTTCCATTTTCGAAAGAGGATTTTCTTCTTTAAGATTCCACAACCCAAAATTTCAACCCATTTGTTCTTGTAATAAACTTCTGCTTGCAACGAATGGTTGGTAAAATCAAAGGAGTCTTTCTTTATTCTCCATTTGTGTGTGTTGGCAAAGATTGAGTCCAGCAATGAACAGAGAAAGTACATGAGCTGTTTCTTTTTCCCTACCAGTTCGTTTTTTATTTTTATATATATGTCCATTTGGTTAAAAAATGTAAAGTGCAATTTGTCGATGTTGTCTTTTCTGAAAATGTTTGAGATGATGAGGAAGTTGTCTGTGCCTCTGTCTAGGTGTGGTGTCCCGCTGTGGGACTTTCCCTCTGCAGTTTGTTCCCCCTCTGCAGTCTGTTCGCGTCTATCTGCAGTTCGTTCGAGTCTCTCTACCGTCTGTTCGCTCCCCTCTGCAGTTTTTCGAATGGCCCCATTTGGTGTCCCCCCCCATTGGGGGTTGGAACACTCGGTCGTATGCCCCACCCCACAATGTGGAATGTGCCTCCCCTTTTGTTCCCCCCTTAGCAAGTGACAGACATGGGGAAAGAGAGACGTCGCCTGGGGGAGGTACAAAAGCGAGTCCGAAAAGTAAAAGTTATTCCTCGCAGACGTGGTATCATTCGTGTCCTTAATCAAAATATCATTAAAGCATGAATTCGTTTGGTACAGGGGACACTTGTTATAAACGACCCAGAAGGAAGACTCCCTTTTGAGGTGATCAAGGATCCTCGTCGTTACATGGTGAATGGGGTGATTCTTAATACTGTACACATATTTAAATCTGCCATAATTGATTATGTCATTCTTTACGTGGTAACTGTTGCTCAGTTTTGACAGCGTGAAGTTAGTTATGCAGGGGTGAGGGGGGTTGTTAACGCCGCTGTAGCAGCGCCTAAGTTGGGTGAAAAAGGCGGCTACTAAGGTGTGGAGAGCAAACAAGAGGCGCATTTCAGAGGTAGTAAAGAAGGAAAAGGCCAGTGGGGAAGGGAACCACGAAAGGAGCTGCAAATCGAACCAAACAGCGGAGTTTCATCGTTCCTTCGGCATATATCATCCCCATTCTGCATTCTCCCAAAATTTCAAAATGGTAATAAAAAGAAAAAAAATGACCGTAGAATAGTCAGCACAATTTCGCGCTTTACAACAAAATGGCTATTTTTTTTTTTTTCCCAATTTTGCCTGAACCTTTCATACAAAAATGCGGTGACTTGCTCCCTTGCGTCGTTCTGCAGTTGGCGGTAAGAGGGCACACAAAAGGGGCATAGCCTTGGGTGCCGCAGCCTGGCAGCAGGTCATACTGGACAAGTGACGCGCGAGAGGCGATGTGCGATATACCATCTCCGTATGGGTAAAATATGCTGCTGTTTTGACAGTCGATATAGCATGGTTCTGCACGCATTCGCTCCGCTGCGCCACTCAAGTCGAGAAAAGTGAATTAAAAACACCAAGTTTTGGAAGGCTCAAATTCGCCGTGGAAGTTTCCCGTTTTGAGATTCATACCGCCCCGAATGTGCGAAGGGGGGGAGGAAAATTGCGTGAGGAGATAAATAAACGAGGGGGTAAATGGCCCAAGGGGTGGATAAACCAGCGCGCTCTTATACAACGTGCTCGAGTGAACAATTAAACGCATGGGCTAATGCAAGATTGATTAATTATATTAAAAAATAAACAGGGCACAAGCGGCACGCCATGCAAGTGCAAGTAGAATTGCCCGTGTGCGTGCGGCTGCACACACGTTGTCTTATTAAAGAGGTCAAAAAAAAAAAGAAAAAAAAAATTGACAGGGGAGAGTAAAGCGGCTTAGGGGGGGGGAGAAGAGGAGCAGCCCGTGGACGTGCGGGGGAGGCAAAGGTGCCGCGTTCACGTCCGTTCGGCTAATTTGTTCGATCTGTCCGCTGTGCCAACCATGTGAGTTCGCTTCGCAGTAGTGGAGGTTGCACCCGTCGTCTTGATCGTCTCCCTATTCATTCTCTTCCTCTACTCATCGTAGTTGTACCCGTCGTCTTCATCCTCTTCCTCCTCGTCGTCCTCTTCCTCCTCGTCCTCTTCCTCCTCGTCATCTTCATCCTCCTCGTCATCTTCATCATCGAGGTCGTCCTCATCCTCCTCCTCATCGTCCAAATGGTCCAGTTTTCTCCTGTATCCTCCACCCCGTCTATGCTTCTGTAGGTACTTGGGCGAGTTGATGCTTGAGTCCAGGATTCCCTTGTCCTTCTTCTCACTATCCACCATCATACACTCCGTGGTCAAAACCATACTGGCAATACTACAGCTATTTTTAATAACACTTATGATCACATTGGTGCTATCGATAATTCCGTTCTCAACCATATTGACAAATTTGTTTGTATTCACATCGTATCCAAATCCATATTTGTCTTTTGAGTTTAAAATGATTTTGACGACATTTTCTCCATTCACTCCTGCATTGTCTGCTATCTGTTTTGTAATTACATCTAAGCTGCTGACTACTATGTTTGCTCCCATTTTTCGGAGCTCCAATTCGGATTCTAAATTTCCTACTAGATCGAGGTATTTTTTATCTTCCTGGCTTCCTTTGTCTTGAAGTTCTTCTTCAATTTTTTTGTGTATTTCGTTTAGGAAGTTAGATTTGATTATCTCGAGATAAGTGACTCCTCCTCCTGGGACGTATCCAATGTCGATTGCGCTCTTCACTGCATTGGTTGCATCTTCGTATTTGAATTTCCTCTCTTTCTGTTCCGTTTCGGTATTTCCTCCGATTAATATTTTGGCAATACCACCTGATAAAGCAGCTATTCTCTCGTTTAACTTCTCTTTGTCATACTTAGATGTGGTTTCTTCAAACTCTTTCTTTAAGACCTTAATCCGGTCGTCAATCTGGTTCTTGTATTCCTCCTTGGTGATTAGACTCGTTCTATCTTTTTTCACAATGAGTGTGTTTGCGCTTCCCAGCAGCGTCAGGTAGTTATTATCGAAGGAGCTCATGTTATTGTGGAGGTTATTCAGGTCTAGCCCCACGTCCGCGCTTATGTACTTGCTGTTTGTCACGATGCAGAGATCCTTGAGGTAGTCTTTTCGCCTGTCTCCGAAGGAGGGCGCTCTTATTGGGACCTGCAAAGAAGGGGGTTGTTTTTGTTAGCGACGGTGTTAATGTTACGGGCTTTTTTCTCACGCAGATTGATAGGCGGTTGAGCGGGATGCAGCTTAGAGCAATACGGGACTCCCTTCACTCGCACGAATGGACGAATGGACAAATGGACGAATGGGGGAGCGCAGGAACACATCGCGCCCGCGGCGAACCCCTTCGTGAGAAGACGGCGCCACGGAAAGGTCTCCGCCTCGGGGGTTCCCCCTATGTAGGAGGGCGGTACCATAGAAGTAACCCTGCCTTAGGGGTTACTCTACTTCTGTGCCCTCTCTGCTTTTTCCTGTCACCACTTTTTTTGCGCGCAAAAGATGGGGGGCATTTTACGCAATCTAAGCGGGGAGTAGAAGCGAAGACTGGAAGCGAACAGAAAAATGACCCGGTAACAGGGTAGCCGCGTGTCAGCGTAACGGTGTAGCCGCTGATCCGCTTATCTGCTTACCACTTTGATGGCCCCCTTGAGCTTGTTTATGATGAGCGTCTGGAGCACCTCGTTGCTGAAGTCGTCGGCGATGATGCAGAGCGGCTGCTTGTTCTTGGCGAAGATCTCCAGAATGGGCAAAATGGATTGAATGTTGTCGATATTCTGGTCCGTGATTAGCGTAGAGACGTTGTTATATTCAATGTGATCTTTATTCTCATTGTACAGAAGATAGGGGTTAATAATTCCTCTGTCAAAATTGTACCCTTCTGTGAACTCTAGCTTATCATTAATATCAGCGTTATCGTCCAAAATGATCGCAGCATTTTTTCCCAGCTTATCGTAAGCATTGGCAATGATGCTTCCCATGTGTGTGTCGTTATTGCTAGCAATAGTAGCGATGTTTAGAATATCCTTATACGTTTTAATTGGAGTGGAGAGTGATTTAATCTTTTCGATGATCATTTTGGAAGCTATCTGTATGCCTTTCTGTATTGGAATGGGATTATGATTCCTGTTGACTTGCTCAATACCTTTCTTTGTGATGGTAGCTGTCATTAGAGCCGTGGAACTCGTACCATCTCCTGCTTTGTCATTGGATATGTTAGTACTCTCCTGCATTAACTTGACTCCATTATTTCTCTTCCTGTCCTTTAATGAGATATTTTTTGCAATCGTCACACCGTCATTAATTATGAGGGGGCTTCCATACTCTTTTTCAAGAAGTACGTTTCTTCCTCTCGGACCCAATGTCAGCTTCACTACATCTGAGACGGTTAAGATGCCTTGTAACAACTCATTTCGGCATTCGTTTCCGTATATGATATCCTTCCCCTTAACTTTGTTTTCAGTCATTTTGACTTTAACGTAATTTTCCTTCCTCCTGCTTATGAGCTTACTGTTAATATATTTGAGCCTCTTGTTGAGGAGCCCCCTGCGCTTGCCGGAGAGTCCCCTCTTCCGTTTGACGCTTTGCCCGCACTGGAGCAGGCAGCCCAGCAGGGCCACTAGTAGGAAAACAGCGGCGTGTCTCGCGTTCATCTCGCGGAGCGGCTTATAACGGGCGGAAGATATGACGCCGTTAACCTGTTTCGGTGGACGAGGTGACACCGGCAACTTGTTTCCGTGGATGAGGTCAGACTTGCACGCTGTTTCACCTCACTGGGTATGCCTCCTCACCGCTGTAACTGTGTAGGTGAACCGCGCACAGCTGGGAAGAATGTGCTTCCCCCCTCCTGCCTTCTCGTACACCCACAAAGGTGTAAGCACGTGGAGTATCTTTTCACGTGGAGTATCCTTTCACGTGGAGTATCCTTTCACGTGCAATATTCTTCCACGTGTAGCGAGGCGAAGTCGCAGTCACTATTTGGGACTACTCCCTAGGTGACACGCTCTCATGTGTAAGAAGAAAAGGCCAAAGGAGCGCATACACTTGGGCGGATTTATATCTATATTGTGCTACTCCCACAAACTGGGAGGGGAGCCTCAACAGATCAGTTACGTCAATGTGGAGTGACTCGAATTGCACTTCTACCTCCAATCACAGTTGTGCCTCGACTAACGGCGAGGTTATTTTCTCCTGAGTGGGGAGGGGCGTAACTCCGTTGTTGGGAAGTCGCTTGTGGAGACTTGTTCGCAGGTTTTTTTTTTTTTGTTACTACTTTGTACTGGGGGCCACAGGAAAAAAAAGCATAACCTGCGTTGTGTCATTTGGAAAGGAAAAAAAAAAAAAAGGAGAGCAGTTCCGAATGGAACAGGCATATGCAAGGGCTAGTGGAAGAGCAAACGAAAACACGTGCACAAATGTGTCACCTGCGAAGGAACGCTTCTTCTACCCGTTGGGGGCAGGGCCAACTACACGTGAGAAAATACGTCACTTTTTCTCTATTGAAACTGCCCCTGCTGCTTCTTCATAGAATACGGGGAGAATCGCCTCCCAAGGGCGTCGCGGGAAGAAGCAGGGCGACGTCACCCGCGTGCGCTTTGCGGCACACCCCAGCTGCCTATGGGACCACGACTCTCGCGTAGGTTAAACCATGTCGGCGCTCCCCCGTAGGTTAATCCGTGTTGGCACCCTCCCATAGGCTAATCCAACCTGATGCTCTGCTGGAGGCTGCTCCACTTTGATGCTTCCTCTTATGTTACCTCATCTTGATCCTCGCTCCTGGTTCCCCGGTTTGGCCTCTCACCCATGTATGAGCGGCCTGGCCACGCTCTGGTGCCCTTCATTTTTCCGCCACAGGCGAGCAGGGCACAACCCTCCCCAATTGTGTGCTTTTCCCACGTGCGTATAATGCTGGAGTTGTTTTCCGTTTGGCATCAACCCAGTGCACAACGGATAATATCCCCTGGGGGCATCCTTCTCTTGTTTTCCGGTTGGCCTCCCCAGATGAAAGTACGCCCCTGATCTGTTATATCCCCCCGTGGGGACTTTTCCTCAGATTGGTAGTCCCCGCAATAGTATTTTTTTTTTTTTTTTTTCACGCACAAGTACGGCTCGTTTACACGGATTTTTTTCCCTGTGCCTTCGCTCCATTCTCCGTTAAGTTGTTTATTCCCCCGCGCTACTGCCTGACAGTTTGGCTGCTCCGCAGATTGATCATGTCACAGCTTCACTGCCTCACAGTTTGACTGCTCCACAGATTGACTGCTGAACATCCTGACAGCTTCGTTCATTCCCCACCGGACCAACCACCAGGCGGACCCGAATAAGTGAACGCGGAAAAAGGATAGAGACTACACCCGTTGACGAAGCTTTGTTTGCACGCTCTTATGTGTACTTATGTACGTGCCGCCAATTCCAGCGGCACCCAAAGGAGGCGATTCCTTTTAAAGGGATAAGAGCCCCCCAGATTCACGCACAGCTGAGCTGCGCGTCTCTTTACACACAATTGACGACGGACCGCCAACCCCCCTACGGCCTAGGGCATACGACATACGGAATGCCACATACACCATACACACGCGTCCCGCAGTGAGGCCTCAAAAATTAATACCCCTGCCGTTTGCACAGCAGGAAGAGCAGTGGACAGGGCATCCCCCAAGAAGGTATCACATCGCCACTTCGCAGCTACACACATGTGCATACCTCGCAGATTTCTGTTGAGCGGCGTAGCGGAAAATAAAAAAAAACCGAGCACAGCAAAGGAAGAAAAACAAAAGACAGCATAGCACAAAGGAAGCGCTGCAAACGAAGCATAGCAACAGAGCGCTCGTTCCCCTTGAGCCCACGTCGCACGTATGCGGGTGTTCCCTTCCAATCAGCCGCCACTCTGGGGCACACGCCCAAGTAACCCACATTCTGTAACGACAGTTTTTAATCGCAAACTTTTGTCTAATCCCTCCCCCGTCTTCTTCTCAGAACTTAGAATTCCAAAATGAATGCAGTTGTGAGCAGAACGAGGGTTGTCCTTTTCCCACGCCGGAGGCACTTCTCATCAAAGAAGGAGTAACCCACTTGGGCGCGCCACGGGCGGGCGACGCCCGCGCGAAAGATCGGCGCAGAATCGGCGCAAGGTCGAATTGTGTTTTTTATCTCCTCTAAATGTCGTTTTGCGTACCTTTGTGGATGTCCCATTCTTCCGGCTCACTTACTTCCCACTTCCCCCTTCCTTCCCCCCCCCCCCAGTTACGACGTGGTAGTGATAGGCGGCGGCCCTGGGGGCTACGTGTGCAGCATCCGGTGTGCGCAGAATAAGCTCAATGTGCTCAACGTGAACGAAGACCTTAAGCTAGGAGGCACCTGCCTGAACCGAGGATGTATCCCCTCCAAGTCCCTCCTGCACATTGCACACAATTATTACGAGGCAAAAAATAAGTTCAAGGAAAGTGGTATCATCATAGATAATATACACCTCGACGTGGAGACAATACATAAGCACAAGAACAAATGCATGCAGAATTTAGCCGACGGAATAACGTACCTGTATAAGAAGAACAAAGTGAACCATCTCATAGGACATGGAAGCATCGTAAATGAGAACACCGTATTGGTAAACTGTCAAGGGAAGGAGAAACTCGTGACGGCGGAACGGATTGTTATCGCTACAGGGTCCAAGCCGATCGAAATTCCACTAAAAAGGCTCAATGATCAGAATGCGAAGGAGGCGGAGACGGTTCAGGACCTCCTACACTATGACCACCAAGTGATACAAACATCGGATGACATTCTCAGCTTTAAAAAGATCCCGAAGAAAATTTCCATCATTGGTGGTGGTGTCATTGGATTAGAAATAGGTTCTGTTTTTGCCAAAATGGGTTCAGATGTTATCATATTTGAATATAACAACCGGTTGTGCTCTTTTCTAGATGCAGATGTAAGTAAAGTGCTGCAAAAAACGCTGGAAAAGATAAAAATCAAATTTGTCTTTAATACCTCCGTAATGGGAGGAAACGTCGAAAATGAGGAAGCCACTTTATTTACAAAAAATACCAAGACAAAGGAGATACAAAAGATCCAATCGGATCTGGTTCTCGTCTGTGTTGGTAGGAGATCCAATTTTGACAATCTGAATTTGGACAAAGTTGATATCGAATTGGGCAAAAATAAAAAACTTCAAGTAGATTCCTCCTTCAGTGTCACATCCCATCCAAGTATAAAAGCCATCGGGGATGTGATTGACGGGCCTATGCTTGCACACAAGGCAGAGGAAGAAGGATACATCCTAGCCAATATCCTATTCAGCGAATTGAAATTAAACAAGCCTAAAAAATCGCATATTAATTACGACCTCGTACCAAGTGTTATATATACGCACCCGGAGGTAGCCAGCGTAGGTCTAAATGAAGAACAGTGCAAACAAAGGAACATCCCATTCAAGGGAGTTACCTTTCCCTTTGCTGCCAACAGCAGGTCTCGAACCATTGATGACTTTGATGGGCTGATTAAGCTACTCGTTGAAGATGGGTCAAACAAAATCCTGGGCTCTCAAATTGTTGGAAACAATGCTAGCGATTTAATTCTTCCTCTGTCCATTTATGTTGGCAGCGGAGGGACCGCCAAAAGTCTGAGTAAGGTTATTTATGCCCACCCCACCTTCTCCGAGGTCATCAAGGAGGTCGCTCTGGCGTCCTTCGACAAGGCCATCCACATGTGATTCGCTCTGTCGTGGACAGGGGGGGGGGAATACAGCAGCGTTTCTAACCAAGCGTGCACTGCCCTGGCCTTAGGGGCAAACCAGCGTGGGAGCCACTCGAATCGTGTTCGTGCACGCTGCAGAGGCGGGGACGCCATCACGTGCAAATGGATACATACCAGTGGGTGTACCTTGTCGTGTGTACCTTGTCGTGTGTACCTTGTCGTGTGTACGTACTTCTCCGTACCTACCCGTGTGTGCAGTAATGCCCGCACAGCTTAACCCGACGCGAAGGCAGCTTTTTTTTTTTCGTCGACGAGGCGGAAGGGCCACTCCAAAGGTGCATCCTGTTGTGAAGCATAAAGCCACTCCACTGCCATGCGTACGAAAAAACTGCTCCTAAATTTGAATCACTCCACTGCGATGCGCACAGCAAAACTGCTCCTAAGCGTCCGCGCAAGCGTGGCACGGTATGCACAAACGAAACGGAAAGCTCCGCCCCATAGGGTGAAACACATGTGACACTTGGGCCATTCGCGAAAAGAGATATTGCCAACACGACCAACCAGACGGGGGAAGGAAGAAATCCGATTAACAGTTTCCCCCATGTAGATTGCAATCTCCGTTGCAGCGAAAACTAGCCATTCGGGAAATTATGAACGGTCAGGTGATTTTGTAACAAAAAAAAAAAAAAAGAAAAAAAAAAAAGCTACCCAGAAGGGGAATCCACCCAACGCACATCACTTCGCACGAAACTTAAAACGACGCTGCAGCGATACGAAACGGAAGCACACCCCAGCTGCGTAGTTTCCACTTTCATTTTAAATGGATTCCCCCTGCGAATTCCGAATTCGACGAAGAACATTTCTTTCCTGTCCCCCTGCATGAATCGCCCCAAAAGGGTGGTGTCACACAAACACCGGTACGTAGTATCTCCACCCCTCAGCTGCGCAGACGTTCGTCACTTTAGTTCCAGAGTGAGCGACAGTTCTGTTACCCAGCGAGGATGTGCCCGAGTGTTGCGCATTTGTTTTGTTTTTTTTAAGCATGCCCGGGGGGCGCATAAAGCGTATGCACAGATAAGCGCACGTGCGGGGAGATCATCGGATGTGCAGTCAGATCATCGGATGTGTAGGCAGCTCATCGGATGTGTAGGCAGCTCATCGGATGTGTAGGCAGCTCATCGGATGTGTAGGCAGCTCATCGGATGTGTAGGCATCTCATCGCAGGTGCAGCTAGCTCATCGCACGTGTTGTTACACCCCGCGGAAGCGCCAACATGGCAATGAA